CTAAGCTTTTTACATCTTGTCTATAGAATTTCCTATAGTCCGTCAGAGGTGTATATGCTTAATATATGTATGTTTTATTCCGTATTGTAATACATTGAAAACAAACAAACCATTTTACATACAGTCCATAAAATTCCCTATAATCCATTAGAAGTGTATATGCTTAATATGTTTTTTTTAATTGTAATTGTCAATTACACTAAATTTAAATTTTTTTTAGTATTTGAAGAAGTATTTTTGATTTCTAAAGTTTTTAACAATATTTTTTCATTGAAAATTTAATTGTTAAATTTTAACAATGTGGAAACAAATCAAAATTTGAGATATTAAAGATGTTAAATTATAAATATTTTCACAAATAATCTATACACAAAAGTCATTTTGAAAAAAAGTTCAGGTGCTAAAATTCAATACATTGAAAACAAACCAAATTCTTACATTTTGTCGTCGTTCTTACTTTCCCGCCCAGAGAATTTTTTAGTATGCTAGAGATGTATATTTTTAATAAGTTTTTTTTCGTATTGTAGTTTGACACTTACACTAACTTTCAAACTTTTTGGTATTTGAAGTGAAGTATTTTTTATTAACTAAAGTTTTCAACAATATTTTTCACTGGAAATTTAAATGTTAAATTTTAACAAATGTGAAAACAAATCAAATTTAGAAATATTGTAGATGTTAAATTATAAATATTTTCACAAATAAATAAGTGTCTTATACACAAATTTTCTTCTAAAAAGTTCAGGTGTTAAATTACAATACATTGATAACAAACCAAGTTCTTACATCCCGTCCATAGATTTTTGTAGACTGTTAAAATATATGCTTAACATTTGAAGTAAAGTAGTTTTCAGTTAACAAAAGTTTTTAACAATAATTTTCACTGGAAATTTAAATGTTAAATTGTAACAATGTGAAAACAAATTAAACTTGAAAACAAATTAAACTTAGAGATATTAAAGATGTTAAATTATAAATAATTTCACAATAAATGTCTTGTTCATACACAAATTCATTTTGAAAAAGTTGAGGTGTTAAATTTCAATACATTGAAAAACAAACCAAATTTTTACACCTCTGTCCATAAATTTTTTTAGTTTGTTAGAAGTGTACATATTTAATATGTTTTCTTCGTATTGTGTAATTTGACATTTACACTAACTTTCAAAGGTTTTGGTATTTGAAGTAAATTATTTTTAATTAACTAATGTTTGTAACAATTTTTCACTGGAAATTTAAATGTTAAATTTTAACAATATGAAAACAAATCAAACGTATAAATATTAAAGAAGTTAAATTATAAATATTTCACAAATAAATGTCTTACACATACAAAAATGTTTTGAAAAAGTTCAGGTGTTAAATTTCAATACATTGAAAAAAACAAAGTTCTTACATCTCGTACATAAACATTTTTATAATATGTTATAATGTGTATATGATTAATATGTTTTCCTTGTATTGTAATTAGACAATTACATTAACTTTCAAAGTTTTTGGCATTTGAAGTAAAATATTATTAATAACTAAAGTTTTTAACAATACTTTTCTAAAGGAAATTTAAGTGTTAAGTTTTAACAATGTGAAAACAAATCGAAAGATCTTTTTTGGTTTGTTAAAGATGTATAAGTTCAATCAGTTTACACATATATTATACATTTAGTAACATTTAAATTATTAACATCCATTTTTTTTTTTTGCATTTGAAGCAAAATGTTTTGATTTAATTAAAGGCAGAAAAAGTTAACACTAGTTTGTTTTCAAAATAAATATCCTTTGGTCTATTAGATGCATTTTATACAAAGATTATAAATTTTTACCATTTAAATTTTTTCAACTATTAACTTTTGAAATTATAATCTTTTTTCAAGCGATCGCTTGTGAAATATTTCTCTTTCTAAATAGTTAAGTATTTTTACATCTAAATATGTTAAGTGTTAAATTTTAAAATTGTGAAAATAAATCAGACTTGGCAGCATATTTTTTTTTTTAATATCCATAAGTAGTGTAAATATTGAAGTTAACTTATGTGGAGCTCTTAATGATGTGGCTAAATGATTGGATGAGAATATTTTAGGTGATGTAACACGTAACATCCCAAAAGTTGTTTCCATTTAGTTGTTTTCTTATTGTATTAGATAATGATAATTAAGGCTGAAAATAATGTGATGTGTGTATAAATAAATCTGACATGTGGACTATAGAAAAATTGTAGAAATTTTGTAAATATAAAATTTAATTTTGTATACAAAACTTTATTACATATCTCTTAATAAATAGAAAGAAAAAAATTAAAGTATTTTGAAATATACTGGTTTTATGAAATTACTGTAGGAACATATAAGACATTTCTTAATCCAAATGGCCAAACCAAAAACTGGACAATTTCTCTGATCAGTATTTAAATTTAACTAATTGATTCAAATTATCCTCTTGACAAATTTAACTAATTGATTCACAATATTCTCTTGCCATTAAATTGACAATGGTCCTAGCAATGATTAAAATACAAAAAAAAATAAAAAATTAAACATTCTTGACATCGAATTATAAAATTAAGGACTATATATTATTCATCAAAAAAGGACTATACTTTTTCATCTCTTTTCTTATGCTGTTTGACGATGGAGGTAAGCCTTACAGCATGAAGATTGAAGAACTCTATTATCAGTCAACCTCCCGGACTTCTGTTCCACGAAAGGTACGAGGGATCTCCAAGTTGCCTGAAACCCATAAGACAACAATATCATTTCACAAATGTCTTAACAAAATGAAGAATAAGACCATGCATGCATGAGACAAGGCAAATTTGATTCTTCATAAGAGAAAGTACCTTGGCTTAACTAGATACAATACGGAGAATGTAACAGCTAAGAACAAGCAGATGCTGCCTACAGTGAGATACGCTACTCCGAGAAAGTCGTTCCTTCCACCGAGCCAGCTAGTGGTTGATAACACGAGCTTCTTCTCTCCATTGAAGCTATAAGTGTTGTAGTTGTTCTCCAACGCAACCGTTATGGTTTCACCAGCATGCAGGTCCGTTTCAATCTTCCCATACAACTTCCTAAATATTGGCAAAGCTGCTGTTCGCATCCAGACTATGAGATCTTCTTGCTCACTCAACTATATATATATCCAACAAAGAAGTCTTGAAACTGTTAACTTTTATAATTCAGAAAAAAATGAATCCAAATTGATACTTTTGACGTTATATTACCGGTTTCTTGGGATCAAGAGTTCCACCACCTATAGGAGCTCCTGTCTGAAAGTTTTTAGGGAAGACATTTTTCCCAAACTTGCTGTCTCTGTCACTCTTCCATGAGATGTCTTTCTTATTCACAGGAAGTTCTTGGCTATTTCTTGAAAATTGGTAAGTATCATTGAACAAACTCCAAGCAACAAGACCACATGGAACAATTGGTTCTCCGCCCACGTTATCCTCAGGTGCACAAGTCTTCACATCACGTTCTTTTGGACTCCGTAGTTGTGCATCGTTCCTACTTTTCACATACCTACACATATAATCAACCAGAGGATCACTAAGAAGTACTTAACCTCAATATGGAGTCCCACACCCTGCGTTACAGTCTTGAAAAGTAACAAACAAATTAAATCGAGTACTATCAGTGAGTAGATAAGGAAAAGTACCGTCTATGGTTTTGGTAAAAATTCTCAAGTTGGTAGTATACATAGACAGGATGCTTCATAGTTTTTGTGACCTGTAAAAACCAAAGACAAGTTTGTGAAGGAGCTAACATATTACAACCATAGAAGAAGATCGATGTCTACCGTTATTGTTCTGTTACACATCTTATCTCCTTGACCCTGTATATAGGCGACCTTGTTGCCCCTAGAAGATTCTGGAACGCAGTCTGTGTCATATCGATCAACGATCTCAACCACCTTCATGCATGTATGAATGAAACTAATCGTCACAAACTCGAACCAAGAAAACAACACATGAGAAAAAAGAACAGAAACTTGGACTAATGCACATACTCCCTGAGAAGCAAATAAGCAGATGACTCCGAGGGGAATGAAGACAACTCCAGCAGCAAGAAATGTCAAGATCACCTGCACATAGCAACAAGAACACAGAAGACAGAAAATAAAAAGGAAATAAGAAACATTCTCTTTTTTTTTTTTCAAATATGTACGTAACATGGCAGTTGTGAATCTAAAAGAATGTTAATTAACCGAGATGGAACGCACCCAACTCGGAGTAAGAATTGGCTTGCAAGCTGGAAGCTCCTGCTGAGTAAATTTTGAATCTGGTAAAGAACAACACGTGTTAAAGACAAAGAGACACCGAAGCCATTTTACGGTTTGGTTAATAGGAAGGATGGCAAAGTTGACGAAAAAAAAGATTTAACCAAACGTGAGTTAGTATATATAACAATCCAATGGAATAACATGAAATTTTAGTAATAACCGGATAAAAGACCAAGCTGATGAACGTATATATAGCCTATACAAAGAATCTACATCAAAATATACAAAGAATGCTTGTGCAGCACACATGTCAAGCTAGATAATATCCCATGATACGAAACATGCATTATAAACATGGTAATCAAAAGATCTAGCAACACCATAAAACAAGAAAATGCATCCAAAACATGGCAGAAAAGTTATAACTTAACGAGGAATAATGTAGAAAAAATCGGGTGATAGATAGGTAAATAGATCACATTTTGGTCGCTTGGAGGTTTTTTTTACACCGGAAGGCTCAACCGATCCGACGTTGGAACTCATCGCCGCTAGCAAAATCAGATGGACACGACGGAGAGAAAACAGATCCTAGTCTCACGGCGGTGAAGAATGTGTACGTTAGGGTTACGAGACGGGAAGAATAGGAAGCATTTTTGGGAAGATAGATAGATCCTTTTAACATGGGAGAGAGAGGGAAATGGATGTTGCCATCATTGACACTTTAATCCACTCCATATAATATGATGTAAATGCCACGTGGAGTATACTTCACTGTCTCTCGCATAATAATATGACTGAAACGCCACGTGGAGTATAGTTCACTGTCTCTCACATATAATATGATGTAAACGCCACGTGGAGTATACTTCACTGTCTCTCGCATAAAAATATGATGTAAATGCCACGTGGACCATATTTTGCAATAAACACTCTCGCATACAGTCAAATATCAACAACCTACCTGTCAATTTTATATATATACAGTTTTGTCCTCCTACGAAGATATTTTAATACTCATCTGATCTCTTCATCACACTTGTTTCCATCGCTTAAAATTTGATCGCTAGTCTTCTTCGTCGTCGTCTTGTTCAGATTGAAATCAATGGTACTCGGAGCTGCAGCGCGTGTAGCCATCGTCGGCTGCCGTAGGCTCGTCTCCTCATCACATGCTCCCCTCCTCGTCTCTTCTCAGTCTCGCCAGGTTCACCATTCTCAATCGTTTCTTCTCTATATCCATATTTGTTGTAACCTCGCGAAGAAACGATAGAGAGATTTCTTCAGATAGCTGATATATGTTTTCAATTGGAGAAAAGAGTAGAATCTATAGATCTCGTGGTTTGCAATTAGTAGTGGCCGTTTATCAATTTGTGTAGCTTACTGGTCAATTGAATTGATTATTCAGATGAGTACGGATGCACGAAGCGTTTCCGAGAAGCTTAGGAACTCAGGTCTTTTACGAACGCAAGGTCTAATAGGAGGGAAGTGGATTGATTCGTATGACAAGACTACAATCAAGGTCTTATACATCCTTATCCGCCTCTTGATTTTTGAACCTACTCTTTTGGTGGAGTTCTTCATATATATTATTTCTTGACAGGTTAACAATCCAGCAACAGGTGAAATTGTGGCTGATGTTGCATGTATGGGAGTTAAAGAGACGAACGATGCTATTGCTTCTTCTTACGAAGCATTCCAATGTATGTGAGCCTTTTGGCTTTCTTTCTTTTTTTAACTTTTCTTAATTATTAATACCTAAAAGTGTTTTGTCTCTACAATGTGCTTGGAAGGATACACAAACTTATTCCTTGTAAATGTATTTTTATTACGTTCAGCTTGGAGCAGACTGACTGCTGGAGAGAGGAGTAAAGTTTTGAGGAGATGGTACGAATTTTTAATCCTGTAGTAATGCCTACTCTTTTAGTCTTTTATAGTCTGCATTGGCATGTTTTAGGATTATAACTTGTAATGGTCGGTATTGCAACAAAGGAATGTTTTCATGGATTTCAAATTCCCATTATGGGTTTTGGAAACAAAAGACTACTTCCTTTTTAATGTTTAAGGTTAGAGATATGCGTGAGTTAGGGGGTTTTCTGGTATCCTGTTTTAAGCTTTTGCGCGTTTCTGGGACCAAGGTTATACTTCGTTTCTCCAAACACAGGTTTGACCTCCTGGTTGCACACAAGGAAGAACTTGGACAACTTATAACTTTGGAGCAAGGAAAACCACTAAAGGAGGCTATAGGAGAGGTGGACGATTCATTTTATATATGTGCTGATTTTAGCATGTTTCAAATGTTGCAATCGTCTCTTAAATGCAGTATATGATTCTGTAATTTAGTTTACAGGTCGCATATGGGGCAAGTTTTATTGAGTACTATGCGGAGGAGGCAAAACGTGTATACGGTGATATAATTCCTCCTAATTCGTCTGATCGCCGGTTGTTGGTCCTAAAACAGGTTTGCCAATTGTTCTGATTCATAAATTCTTATCTATGCAACTTTTTTATTTTTCAGTGACATAATTCGCCACCCTTAGCTTATCTTGGAGGTGCTAATTAGAAATGTTAGGTTAGATAATCGCCAGGCTATCTGGGCTTGGAAACCTATGACTTTACTCTTCTTCCCAGCTTCTCAAGAAATATTATTGAAATTTCTATTCTGTAGCAATGCTACATGAGAACTTGCTTTGCGAATTTCCATTTAAATGTCGAGATTTATCGTCTTCTTTTTTGTGTCATGTGGCTGACTAGCTGTATTTACAATAGCAGGTATTTAAATTACACTTGCACTGATTAACTCTCTTGATTTGCTATGTAGCCTATTGGTGTTGTTGGCGCTATTACACCTTGGAACTTTCCCTTAGCCATGATTACTCGAAAGGTCTTGCTTGTTGTACCATTGCAATTTACCTTCTTTTTCTATCCCAGTGGATTATGATGAACTTTATTCATGAAGTTTGATGTGGATGGTTGACGTACTGTAGGTTGGTCCTGCTCTGGCTTCTGGTTGCACGGTGGTTGTTAAACCATCTGAACTTACGCCCCTGACAGCACTTGCTGCGGCTGAACTTGCACTTCAAGCTGGAGTTCCTCCAGTAAGTAACGATTTTAGCCTTGAACTATATAACCCACCAGCATCTCTGGTCTAATCGATTTTGATACCCTCCTGTCAGGGAGATGTCCTGCTAATGTGTAAATTTCAAACACGTAGTCTTTTCGTTATAACATGTAATCTGATTTTATCGACCCATTGTCAAGTGCTTGTACTGTCTTCAAATGTTGGCTACTAATCTGATGCGTGACCCGTTAATCTATGGCTATTGTGGCTCGAAGACTAGTTTTAACAGTGTTTCTTATGTGATCGTGAACTTTCTGAGCAACCCATTTCTTTGCAGCTGTTTTGGCCCTATTGAGGGTTTCTTTTTGTATGATTCATTTGCATGTTTATTTTGATAGGGTGCACTTAATGTGGTCATGGGAAATGCTCCTGAAATTGGGGATGCTTTGCTTTCGAGTCCACAGGTTTCTCTAGTCATCTTTTGTAATTTCTTCTTTTTTGTATCTCTGAGTAGTGATGCTTGATAATATATAAGCAACCTTATCAAGTAACTGTTTTCTTCTTGTGCTACTCAGGTGAGGAAAATCACGTTCACAGGATCAACAGCAGTTGGGAAGAAGTTGATGGCAGCTGCTGCACCTACTGTCAAGAAGGTATGCTTAAGCATCAGTATCATGCTATTTGAAAAATATTTTCCAGATTAATATCGATGGTACCTCTTCTTTTTTTCCTGGTTCTAGGTTTCTCTAGAACTTGGCGGCAATGCACCCTCCATAATATTTGATGATGCAAACCTGGATGTAGCAGTAAAAGGAACGGTAAGTGATCGTCATGAGGATTAAGGCGTTGATTTATCCAAAGGGTGCAAAATGTTGGTCTATGTGGAGAAATTTCTCTAATGTGACGGAATCCCGTTCCTTTTCCATAAAAGATGTGTATTACCCCTTGAGCTGGCTATTACTTCCACGCTCCACCTATCCCTCCTTATTTCATCACAATTTGATTTGTGATTTTGCAGCTTGCAGCGAAATTTAGGAATAGTGGTCAGACATGTGTTTGTGCGAACAGAGTACTTGTGCAAGATGGTAAGAATTAAATTACTTGGCATACCTCTTCTTTTCTCAATGGATCTTTCATCTGCTATTAACGTAATATTTTATATTTTTTCCGCAGGTATCTATGATAAATTTGCTGAGGCCTTTTCTGAAGCGGTTCAAAAATTAGAAGTAGGAGATGGCTTTAAGGAGGGGACAACCCAGGTATGCCTTTTTTGGTCTTATGCTTTATGGTGTTCTACCCTTGATGATTGGGTGATTAGAAAATTCTAAATGGCTATTTGCTAGCGTATCTAGAGTTATTGGTACCTTCTTTCTAGATCTGTCAACTAACATCTCAAGCGACTTAGTTTAAATTTTACTGAGTCTGCTCTCTTGTATACTCTGCTATTTTGCTGTAAATTGACTTGTCAGTTCAACATTCTTACAGGGTCCACTCATAAACGATGCAGCAATTCAGAAGGTACATTATTAATAGTTTCCTTTTCTTTTGTCAAAAGTTTACAGTTTCCGAGTTTTTTAATACACCAATGATAGTTGATGGCACTCATGTTAACAGTCTTGATCTTCATGCTAAATAATTGTAGGTAGAGTCTTTTGTGCAAGATGCTGTTTCCAAGGTTTGTATTTCCCTTATTAACCTTGGTTTCTTAGTAAATCGGTTTATACTTGTATTTTTATGTCATTCAGCAAAAAAAAAAATTGTATTCCCCGATTCATACTAACAAGAGGTATATTTTATGTATCTGCCGTTGTCTTCTTAAAGGGAGCAAAAGTCCTTCTCGGTGGCAAAAAGCACAGTCTAGGGATGACTTTTTATGAGCCTACTGTTATCCGCGATGTTACGAGTAACATGATCATGTCTAAGTAAGTTGTGAACGATTCACATCATTGCAGTGTTATAGCTTTTTTGTGTCTGAAGAAAGAACTAGAAATCGTTAGTATTCCTCGCATTTTTTTTTGTCAGAAGAACTTATTTGCTTGTCTTAGGGAGGAGATTTTCGGACCAGTAGCTCCCCTTATTCGGTTCAAAACTGAGGAGGACGCTATCAGAATCGCCAATGACACTATTGCAGGTTTGTCCTCATGCAATCTTAGCAACCATTTTAAACATGATAAAGGACATGACGTACGAAATGTGTGTGTGTTCAGGACTTGCTGCTTATATATTCACAAACAGTGTGCAACGATCGTGGCGTGTCTCTGAAGCACTTGAATACGGACTTGTAGGGGTGAACGAAGGAATCATATCAACAGAGGTAAGACCAGAAATGGAAGAAGCACATTCTCAAAAATTATAGCCATACATTTGCTGACATCTTTTAATTTGCAGGTGGCTCCATTCGGGGGAGTGAAGCAGTCTGGTCTTGGAAGGGAAGGATCCAAGTACGGTATGGACGAATACCATGAGGTAACTCACAACAAAACACATCTCTCTCTTATCAATCTACGCTTCATTTGATGGAATCAACTTGTTTAGAGATTGAATTGATTATAAGATGGTTACAAAGCGCAATGTAAATGCTCCTACACCCCAGCTCATAGCACAGAATCTGTCTTGTAAATACTATTGTTTGTAACTTGTTTATCGTTTATTGACGCAGATCAAATACATATGCATGGGAGATATGAACAGACAGTGATTTGGTTTGTTAAATAGCTTGGAAACGGTCAGTTCCTCCCCCACTTATATATCCTTCCAATAAGGGTTTCGAGGTTTCTTATTAAGAAATAAAGAATTGGTCTACTTTGACCAATATGTTTTAGCATGGTTCTTGAATAATATTCTGATCTTCTTTTTAAGTTGTTTTTTTTGTAATATTCTGACAATTTCTGCTTCGTATATACTAAAAAGAGAGCGGTCTTGTTCTTGGAAGTCGATGTGTGTCGTTTTAATTTTATTTTGCATCATTATCTTATTATATAAAACACATACACGTCCCATGTGCTGTTAACTGCTGATTAGGAGACTTGTAGCATTCAGTTAATTGCTGATTAAAGAGCACTAGGTTAACTGCACTCAGGTATGGTTTTAAAATAGCGTTAGAAATACGTGGTTCTATGCCGAACTTGTGATGTTATTTTCTTTAACGTTTTTTTTTTAAGTGGAGGAAAGATAAGAAGAGCGGAAGGAATATATTCATTTCGGAGAAGAAATTCTAAAGCACCATAAAAAGATGCTTGAAGTTCAAGCAACCATGGCCTCAATTTTTTTGAACCGACTTGCTTTATTGTCATCAATTTATTTATTTTCCGGCTTATTTTTTTCTTTTTAAGTTCTTAGTTTGAACAGCAATTAGCTAAAAGTTAAACATTGTCTTTACTTGGACTAAAATATAACAAAAAAACTTTGCTTGCAAAATAAAATCTCGCCAGCAAACCCTTTATAAAAAAACTCTCGCTTAAAAGCACTAGAAATCAAGAAAAAATAAGAACTTAAATGATCTTTTTTTGCTAATGCTAACATACTCGACATCACTAAGAATAAATTTTGTAACTTGATTTCCCAAAAAAAAAAGACAGGATAATCATTATGAATAAATGTGTACGTATCTAAACTCTAAAGGGGTCAGAAAAAGTCTAGTATTGCATGTAGCCATGTAAATGTGGCTGGCCAAGTTCATACGGTTGGCATCTATCGCGGGAGTTCTATTTTCATTTTTTAATATTGTTGGCGCAATAAGAATCTATCTTTATTCATCAAAGAGGCGAAGAATTGATTCCAATTCTCATGCAATTTTAACTTTGATTTATTATTAAATTTTAAATGTTAAAAGTTAACACCATTTTCCTATTATATATATCCTAGCAAGATTGTATGCGTTGATTAATTTATTGTACATACCATTCGTTTTAAAGCCACAATTTAATACTTCTTGCAAAAAAACATTGTTCATTTGACAAAATAAAATTATTCCTAAATTAAATTCAAATTACAATCTGGAAAATACATTACCATGTATAGCTGCACAATCGTCAGTCCTACAAAAGCCAAAAAGGATTATAGTCCCAGCAAGCTTTAACCAAAAAATCAAATTAAAAATGGGGAAAAGAGGAAAAACATATAGTAAAAATAAAATAAGGAATAAAAGAGCTTTAATAAGTAGAAGAAGAGGTCCCCAACAGTAACACTCTCTTTACACATTGATGCATAATTCTCCACATATCACTAAACCATGTATATGCACTTAAAGTTTTGGTTCCATATTCTCATGTTGTTTTCTCGCTTTAACTCCATATATTCCTTCACTAAATGTTACATTGAACATTTCCCTGTTTATATTTAATACAAAAAAATTATACGATTATTATTTATGCAGATTTATAATGAAATTTTTATACTCCTAGGTCATATGCTCTCTATTTTGTGTGCATGTAATTTTTTTTAAGTATGCATATCAATCTCAGCGCCATATTCATCGGCTTATTCTTGTTCTACGTAAATATGCCATACGGGACCTCCCACTAGCTCATACATATCTGGTTGACCATCTTACATGTATATATTCATTTACGCTAATCAAATTATTTTGAATTATGCGACAGATGTTGTGGAAAAAGAAAGAATTATGCTACTAATGGATTAGTTTTCTAGGAAAAAAAACGACTAATGGAGTAGTTATATGATGAATATATGATTTTTTTTGAAATAACTAGCTGTGTATACACACGTTATTTTTATGTAAGACAACTCATCATCATTTGACAGAAATAGTTTAGTAGATATAGTTCAGCTAGAGGATTAAAACTGGATCTTCATTTTACAAACATAATAAAATATTAGTTATAAAATAAATTGTCATCCAAAAAAAAAATAAATAAATAAATAAATAAATAAATTGTCATCCCGGAAGATTAGCCAGGCTGAAGACTCAATTCTAAGATTTGAATTATTGAATGAGAGAGATCAAAAATAACAAGCTTCATTTCCACGTTTGGTAATCATATTTTCTAAATAGGTCGATCAAACAACGTTTTCGTTATAAAAATACAATCCACCTGACGGTCTGTATTTGCCATTAATATACGTTCCATTAGTTTATAGCGAACTCATCATTGCTGTATATTCAGCTCATAATTAACCAAAAAGGCTCACCCTGCCGTAAATGATGAAAATCCTTGTGGAATATTTTTGTTTAGATATGTGTATGTATGTATGTATATATGTATGTGTGATTCTAATATATACCGATGTAGACATGCTTTAAGTCTAGTATACGACTATATATCCTCGTGCGGTCTTAATTGAATAGAATATATACATATATACTTTAATATATTCAACTTTGAAAAAAAATAAATTCTCGTTTTTCTATTATTCTTGTCATATTTATTTTAAATTTAGTAAAATTTTAATACGTACTTATACACATCCAAATCAAACAAAAATAAAATAAAGAACAATAATAAAACGGTTTTAAAACGTTCTTATAGATTAAAAGTTAGCTGAGAGAAAGGATAACAACCAAACTAAATAATACTCCCTCCGTTCCTAAATGATCCATATTTTAGAAAAATATTTTGTTTCTAAAAGATTCATATTTTACATTTTCAATGTATGTAATAATGGTAAATTGTAAACTTCAAAAACATTAATTATGTTTACTGAATTTTGATTGGTTAAAAATCATAGGAAATAGCTAAACACATAAAATAATGCATTTATTATCAAAATTTNTTTACATTTTCAATGTATGTAATAATGGTAAATTGTAAACTTCAAAAACATTAATTATGTTTACTGAATTTTGATTGGTTAAAAATCATAGGAAATAGCTAAACACATAAAATAATGCATTTATTATCAAAATTTTAAGTGTTTTCTTAATAAGTGTGAAAATTCTAAAACATGGATTATTTAGGAACAGAGGGAGTACTTCTATGTTATATTTTATTTGTCATTTTAGTTTTGTGTACACATATTAAAAGATGATGATTAATTTTATATATTTTATATACAAAAATACAATTATCTATACATTTAATTAAATTTCAAAAAAAAAATAGATAAATTGTAATATAAAATTAACAAAATTTATATTAAAATTAGAACATATTTATACTGTAACAAAAAATTTCTCAAACACGACACTGAATACCAAAACAGAAGAAGTACTAGATTTAACATTACCTCAATTTCTAGAGATTTTAAAATATTTCTAAACACTCCTGTTTTTGTAAGAATTAGTGCATATATATTACAACACACCTTCCATCTAATATAACATCTTTATTATATTTTTGTGTTTAGCTATAGGAACTCCGATGTTAAAACTTACCTTTATCAAAGAGAAAAATCGATATTAATTTGTTTAGTAATTACAACTTTGCAATATTTTAAAGCCATTTGAGAAATACATGAATTACTTCATGTATACGTATATTCCTTTACAGACATTTTATACTGAAAGTAATACAAAGGTATTCAAGCTAGCGACAGTATCTTTTCGCAAAGGAACGTCTGTGTACTAGTCTAAAACTTTAATTCTCTTCCTTACTTAGTAATGATAAAACAATAGTATTAATTATTCTATTGTTAGAGCTTTTTTTCATTCACAACAAAAAAAATAAAAAGAAGACGAGAGAGAGAGAAATAGCAAAAAGCCGTCATCTGATCTCTTCAAAAACGCATCGTATTCTTTCACATTTTTGCATCACATTCGTTTCCTTGAATCCCTCTGTCAGAGAGAGAGAGAGAGAGAAAGAGAGTCATAGAGAGAGAATGTTCCATGCTAAGAAACCTTCAAGTATGAATGGTTCATATGAGAACAGAGCTATGTGCGTTCAAGGCGATTCAGGCCTTGTCCTCACTACCGACCCTAAACCACGTTTGCGTTGGACCGTCGAACTCCACGAGCGTTTTGTCGACGCCGTCGCTCAGCTCGGCGGCCCCGACAGTATGCACACACATATATATTGTCTCGAACGATTTTAACAAATAGTAATAAGATTTTGATCGTTTTGTAATTTACAGAAGCTACTCCAAAGACGATTATGAGAGTTATGGGTGTGAAGGGTCTTACTCTTTACCACCTAAAGAGCCATCTTCAGGTATGTACACAAATATAAATTAGGGCTTTCTTTCCTTTCTTGCTTTTAATTTTCTCTTCTCTTTTTTTTTCACTTAATCATATATTAATATTTAAATGTTATATCTGGATCTATGTGTGCAGAAATTCAGGCTTGGAAAGCAGCCGCACAAGGAGTACGGGGATCACTCCACAAAGGAAGGCTCAAGAGGTGACCACTATTCCTTTCCCCCTATCATATTAGGGTTGTAGAATTTACATATATATTATGTATTTGTGTATGTATATTTTTTAATTCATTCTTCTCTTAAATAATACTCTATTCTTTAGCTTCAGCCATGGATATTCAGCGGAACGTAGCTTCTTCCTCTGGCATGATGAGTCGCAACATGAATGAGTAATATATCCTATTTTCTTTTTAACTTTATTTATTTGAATTTTCACTTTGTAGTAGCACCAACTTACACTTGGTTTATCTGATCAGGATGCAAATGGAAGTGCAGAGAAGGTTGCATGAACAGCTAGAGGTGATTAATTTATTGCTATTTTATGATCTTTAGCTCTGATAAGACATATTTTGATATATATATATATATATAATTTATATTGCATTCAATTTTTTTAGGTGCAGAGACATTTGCAGCTGAGGATTGAAGCACAAGGAAAGTACATGCAATCTATATTAGAGAGAGCTTGTCAAACCCTAGCCGGTGAGAACATGGCAGCCGCCACCGCAGCAGCCGCCGCCGGAGGAGGTTACAAGACCAATTTCGGAAGTACAAGTCTTTCCGCAGCGGTGGGTCCACCTCCTCATCCTCTTACTTTCCCGCCGTTTCAAGACTTAAACATGTACGGAAACACAACCGATCAAGTTCTTGAACAACATAACTTCCATCATCAGAACATAGAGAATCATTACACGACCAACAATGCTGCAGACACCAACATTTACTTGGGGAAGAAGCGGCCAAACCCTAGCTATGGTAACGATGTAAGGAAAGGACTCTTAATGTGGTCTGATCATGATCAAGATCACGATCTTTCTGGAAACCAAGTCATCGATGATGAGCATCGGATTCAGATCCAAATGGCTACACATGTTTCCACGGATTTGGATTCTCTGTCAGAAATTTACGAAAGGAAATCTGGTTTATCATCAGGTGATGAAGGAAACAACGGTGGGAAATTACTGGAAAGGCCATCACCTCGAAGATCACCATTGAGTCCTATGATGAACCCTAATGCTGGGTTAATACAAGGTCGGAACTCACCATTTGGGTGATAAAATTATGTATTTTAATATGTGATGCATGAGAACTTGAGAAGCAGATAAATATTTTGTTGTATGAGCTTGACTTAGGGTTTAGAGATGAGGCATTAAAAATTACAAACTTTGTTATGTTTATCGGATTATTTTTGCTCGTCTTTAAATTGTACTTAAGCTAAATGTATCATTATTGTTGCTATAATATTTAGGATCTATGCTGTACTTATTTATTATTTTTCCAGTCAAATGTTTGAAAATTAATTGATCTTTACATTGTTAATTAGTCAGTAGAATGGTCGAGTGATTTATATGATTATGAATTTTGCTTTTTATGCTAAAATATTTTGATATAATTGTTTGATAGCATAGTTTACCTTTTTGTTATTTTAGAATAAATGGAAAAAAAATAAACCCTCAATTTTTTTTATTTCCTTGTACAACTATAACTGACAGTTTTAGCAATGAGATGCATATATACAAATGTGGAAGTATATAGAGTGTATATGTTTAACCATTGTCTGTGTATATCACATCTAATATGCCTTAACCGGTTTACATATCTCATTCAAGAACAAGAACGTAACATTTATAGGACAAATAATGAAAAAATATGGGTGGAAAGAATAGAGATCCAAAACCCTTTGTCAAAAAAAAAAGAAAAAAGAATAGAGATCCATTTAGCAAAAAAAAAAAAACGAGAGAGATCGCTCATGTTTCAAGGCATTGTATGATATTTTAAAGCTTTTGAAGGGCCCTTTGCTTTTTCATGAGTTAGTTATTTCTATCTCAAGTTAGTTTGTACTTGATGCCTTATACTATGATTACGCTAAAATGGGGATATCTGCATCGGGAAACTAAATTTCCAATCAAACATAGAACTAAAGTTTATGGTAAAAAAACATGAGTAAATAAGAAAAGCGGGGACAGAGTCAGTCATAATGATGATGATCCCTATCAAAGCAAAAGGTTTTTAGGGTTTTGGGAAATCCACATGCAAACAGCAATAAAAGCTGTAAATTTGGATTCAAAATGTATATAGTCACATGATTTCATATGTATATAACATAAGTATGTGTGTGTGTGTGTGTTGTGTGTAGAGATTGATAGCTACAACATCCTTTCCAAAAGAATAAATAAAAGAACTTGTCATAAGAGAAACTAACCGACACTGAGTATCTATCTTTCCTTCCGAAGATATCTTTGTTCTTTATTCTTTTCTTTAATTCTTTCTTTGGTTCATATGACCACTAATTAGTACAAATATCTATAGACACACACAAAAAGATTAGTACATTCGGTCTTAATTCTGAAGCTTTTAGTTAATTAAGTGTTTGAAAAATAAAAATTTCGCCTTGATAACGAATATTTTGTGTTTAATTAGTCGATGCATCACAACAAATTTCAAATTACGGCTCATAGAGAGAGAACAATATAAAGATATGGTCATCACTGCAAGTTGGCATCTAAAAGAGAAAGTCTCTCAGTCTCTTATCTCTCCCTAAAAGCTGAAAAATACAAAAGGCAGAGAAAGAGGAGAATTGAAGGAGAAGCATATATAGATAGAAATATAAACGCACTCCCATGTGTGCACTTCTCGAGGAAGCTTCTCTTCTCCTTTTACCAACGCCCCACACTCTTCCTTAACAAACAAATGTGTTCAGAAATGTTTAAATATAATAGTATACCTGACCAAATCTAAGATTTAAAAGTTTATAAATATTCTAAATTAAACATTTTATTTGAGAATCAAAGACTTTATATATAGTAATTTCTAAAAATTTGGGGATGAAATCAAATGTTTGATCCGGCGGTACTCAAAAGTAGAGTGTATGTTTTTTTGGTAAAATGTAGAGTGTAGGTTTTTTTTTTTGAAGAAAAAATGTTGAGTGTATGTTTATTATTGAATCAGTAGTTATGGTGCAATAATCCATGTTGTTGTGAAGATGCATCATATTAAAATTGGAACTGATATCACAATACAACCACACCAACTACCAAGTCACCAACCATAAGTTAACTACTACAACATCCAGTGCTTTTTGTCCATCGCACTCTGCAACTTTTTCGCGGTTCACATGCATAAACGTGCATGTGGTAGTAGCTTTAGTGAAAACAAACATACACAAACGCAGCGTTTTGGTGAGAGAAAAAAGGCGACACAAAAGGCGATTGAAGATTTCTCGATTTCCACTGTCTTCTCATCTGAGAAGATGGATTCAGGGGGGCTTCCGTCGGGTCGTCCGCCTCTGATCAATCAAGCGAAGGGTCCGTGGGTGGAAGCGGTTCAAGGGAAGCAAGTTTTGAAGAAATACACGTTTGAAATCTCGGAATCGGAAGGTAGAAAATCAATCGAAGTTCCTGTTGATGTTATTGAAAAGGCGAATCCTCTGTGGGATGATTTTGTAATTGCGAGGTTCCTGGAAACAACTCCTCATGTTGCAAAAGTCCACATGATTGTAAACAAGATTTGGGAATTTGGAGAGAAGAATCAAAAATTGGATGTGTATGAGATGGATGAGAATACGATGAGAATCAGGATCACTAATGAGAAGATCAGAAATAAGATAGTTCGGCGTGGGATGTGGAATATCGCAGGGGTGCCGATGGTAGTGTCGCATTGGTCGCCGGTGGAAGATGGTTTAACGGCGGGTCTCATTCCTCTCTGGGTTCATGTGACTGGGGTGCCTATGAACATGTACTCTTGGGAGGGATTGAGTTTTATCACAAGTGCGGTAGGAACTCCGGATCATCTACATCCAGAAACCATAGCATGTTCGAATTTCGAAGTTGCTAAGGTGTTTGTGTTAGCTGACTTATCTAAGGAGCTTCCGGAGAAAATTGATTACACGATGCAAGGTAAGGAGGTCACTGTTAAATTCATTTATCCGTGGCTGCCAGCCAAATGTGTGAAGTGTAAAAGATGGGGTCATTCTGGAACTTTTTGCAAAGAGGTAACAGAAGCTGTTGTGGAGAAGAATGATAAAGATAAGGTTGCAGTGGAGATAGTGGAGAATGAAAAAGTAGAGGTGGCTTTGGATAAAATAAATGAGGATGTTGATATCGGGAAAGAGGTTAATGAAGAGAAAGAAGAAGGTGAGATAGTTGGGGTAAAGAATATGGGAGACAGGTCTAGTACTGTCCGTAAGGATAAAGAAGTGGTTCAGGAAAAGGTCTGGGAGAAAGTATCTATCGAAAAAGCAAGTCGAAGTCCAAAGTCACAGGATCTTCAGTTGACAATTGTGACTCCTTCTAGGTTTGCAGCACTAAGTAATGTTGAAGAGGATACTGTGGAGTTAGAGAAAGATGAGACTGAAGTAACTGATAAATCAGAGGTTGAGGATGCTTTGGACACATATCAAAGAAGGATTGAAGAGAGTATTGAAGGGAAGAGGGAGTTTAAAAGAGGAAGAGCTCGTCCGAATCTTCCTAGGTTATCTAAGACCAATCATAGGGTAGTTCCAGGGAAGGATACTACCAAAAACTACTAATGTCTGGTTTCTTTTGGAACGTGAGGGGTTTTAATAAAAAGACTAAGCATGATATAGTTAGGAGTTGGGTTCGAGATAATAATTTTCTATTTGGAAGTTTGCTTGAAACAAGAGTTAAGGAGAATAAAGCTGAGAGGATTGTTAGTAGTGTTTTCAAGGATTGGGAGTTTATGTCAAATTATGAGCATAATAAATTGGGTAGAATATGGGTAGTTTGGAAGTCTTTGGTTAGAGTTACTCCGGTTTATAAAAGTGAGCAGATGATTACTGTCTCAGTACTTCTTCCGGGGGATGATGAGTTCTTGTGCTCCTTCGTGTATGCTTTAAACACGAGGGAAGAAAGAAGAGGTCTATGGGAGGATCTTAAAGGGCATTACGATGCGCCTATGTTTAAGAATAAGAGATGGACTATTATGGGAGACTACAATGAGATTCTGGATATTGGAGAGCATTCAGATTTTGAAAATTCTTCGAGTAGGTTCCTTGGTATGAGGGAGTTTCAGGAGGTGACAAGTGCGTGTAATTTGACTGATATGGCGTTTCAAGGTCCGCTCTTCACATGGTGTAATAAAAGGGAGGAAGGGTTGATATGTAAGAAGCTTGACCGTGTTTTGTTTAATGAAGATTGGTTAAACAACTCGAAAGCCTACTGTGTATTTGAAGCAGGGGGATGTTCTGACCATCTGCGCTGCCGTATTCATTTTGGTTTAGAAGAAGAGAAGAAGAGGAAGCCTTTCAAGTTCACTAACGCTATTGCTAAGATGCCTGAGTTTCTTCCGTTAATTCATGATTTCTGGAAGGATCAGGAAGTGCTATTTCAGTCCACGTCTGCTATGTTTCTCCTTACTAAGCGATTAAAGGCACTGAAGCAACCTCTGAGGTTTTTAAGCAAACAAAAATTGGGAGATCTTCCGAAGCGTACAAGAGAAGCTTACTTGCTTTTATGTGAGAGGCAGAGATTAACTTTGGAGGCTCCGAATTCTGTTAATATAAAGGAGGAAGTTAAGGCTCATAAGAATTGGCAGAGGTTAGCTGTGTTGGAAGAGGAGTTTTTGAAGCAAAAGTCAAAATTACACTGGCTAGAAGTAGGGGATGGCAACAACAAAACTTTTTATGCTGCAGCAAAAGTTAGGGAGGCTCAAAACACAATTTTTGAGATACAGAGTTCAGGGGGGGCTATTCTAAAGACAAGTGGAGAGATTAAAAAAGAAGCTGTCGATTTTTTTGAAAAGTTTCTGACTCTGCAGCCTACTGGATTTGCAGAACCGGATATAGAGCGCCTTACTGACCTGTTGGGATTCCGTTGCAGTGAAGTAGATTGTGCAAAGCTGTTGAAAGAAGTTTCTAAAGAAGAAATTCAGAAGGTTTTATTTCAAATGCCGTCGAGTAAGGCACCCGGGCCTGACGGATTTACCACAGAGTTTTTCAAAGAATCATGGCCAATTATTGGTGCGGATATTACAGTTGCAGTGCAGTCTTTCTTTGCTATGGGTTTTTTACCAAAGGGAGTCAATTCTACTATTTTAG